GCTGGGTCCGTTTGACTGCCCGGGGCTGTTCCCGCACCGTGCCGCCGCAGGATCTCGGTGTCACGCAGAAGGCCGCCGCGCAAATTTATAAGGAGGTGAAAACAAACAAAAAATAAGTTTATTTTTGTGGGTAAGGAAGTGCCAACAGCCTTTGCATTAACCTCAGCTGCCTGGTACTACAAGGATGCACGGGTTCTGTTGTCTGGCCTGTAAATAACCTGGATGGTGTCAGGCTTTCTCGTAGCAATTAACAATTTGTGCAACATTTTCACAATTAAAAATAAATCTCTAATAATGTTTAAAGCCTTTGGAGGGACCCGAATCTTGCATTTTCTTGGTTTTCAAATTTATTTGCTGTTGAATCAGGTAAGCAGTTGTTTCTGTGTTCCTCCCCTTGTAAGAATAGAGGATATATTCAGAATTGCACATACCTGGTGTAGCAGGTGAAGGCACAAATAACAATAAGAAACAATTTTGCAGAGTGCTAGAGCATATAAGCTTATGAATAGTATGTCAGCTTAGTTTTTTCAAAAGAAGGAATAAAGAGTGAATATGGGAACGTTGTCATGCAGTTAAAACCATAAATCTGTATTTTTACTAATTTGATGCCTTTTACTTTGTAGGAATGGAGGGTAAAAAACTGATTTCTGCAACAGACACGCAGTATTCTAGTGTGCTCCTTCAGACTCTGAATGAACAGCGTGGCCACGGGCTCTTCTGTGATGTTACTGTCATCGTGGAGGACCGCAAATTTCGAGCTCACAGAAACATCCTTTCAGCCTCAAGCACGTATTTTCACCAGCTTTTCTCAGTGGCTGGGCAAGTGGTTGAACTGAGCTTTGTAAGAGCCGAAATTTTTGCAGAAATTCTTAACTATATTTATAGTTCCAAAATAATCAGCATTCGATCTGATTTACTTGATGAACTGATTAAATCAGGACAACAGCTGGGTGTTAAATTCATCGCTGATCTGGGCGTACCTCCGTCTGAAGGAAAAAACATGCCAAGCGAGGTCAAAGATGGTGCTTCAGAAACTTCAACTTCTAGTCCCAGTCAAAAGGATGCTGAAACACAAGTACCTGTGATAAGGCCAGAGAGCCAAGAGGTAACGGATGGGATGCCAGTTATAACACAGTCATTCTCCTTACATGGCATAGCGTATGAGACTACAAAAATTACAGTGAGTGATTCAGATGATGAGGATGATGATGTAATTTTTTGCTCTGAGATTGTTCCTCCAAAAGAATGTACTAAAGATACAAATGCTGCAACCCAGAACCAGCCTTGCCCAAATCCAGCTGGAGTTTCTGACCAAAAATCATGTGGCAGTGGTGGCTCTCCCCATTTGACGAGCACCACGGCAGCTCAAAAACTCCCTTCATCTGCCAGTCAGCTAAGCCTAAACCAAACACAATCAAGTGCTGAATCACTTGTCCCTGCAACACTACAGCATTTGACTCCTAATATCATTGTGCTAAATAAGCCTCTGCTTAACTCATCGCTCGGTGCCAGCTCCTTGCATCAAACACATGTGACCCCTACAATTAATTTACTTGAGGAGAACCAGCAGCCATCTAACAATGGCTCCTTAACTGGAGTGGAAACAACTGCTGTTGAGGAGGAGGAGGCTGTTGAAGATGATGTCGATATCATTAGCTCCTCTAGTCCTGGTTCAGTCAGCAGTAGCTCTTTGGCTCAGCAACCTTCTACTACACCCAAGGCAGCAACCACTGAAGGATCCGGCGTACAGAAAAAACAGGTTGTGACATTTTCACAAGAGCCATTTTCTAAACCTGGAGATTTTAAAATAAAAATCTCAGATGTCCTTAGTGGAAACAACAAGGAATTGAGTTCAGGTATAGCATCAAAGCACGTGGCAGAAGGGCAGAAAATCATAACGTTAGATACAGCAACGGAAATAGGCGGCCTGTCCACCGGCTGCAAGGTTTATGCAAATATCGGTGAGGATACGTACGACATAGTCATTCCTGTGAAGGGAGATTCCGAGGAGGGTGAAGCCAAGCCTGATGAAACCCCTAGAACATCTGGTGGCAATTCTCCCATCAGGAAACGCATGAAAGTAAAGCACGATGACCATTACGAGCTCATAGTGGACGGAAGAGTCTACTACATTTGTATTGTGTGTAAGAGATCCTACGCCTGTCTGACGAGTTTACGGAGACATTTTAACGTTCATTCCTGGGAGAAGAAGTATCCGTGTCGATACTGTGACAAAGTTTTTCCTCTTGCAGAATACCGTACCAAGCATGAAATTCACCACACGGGTGAGCGAAGGTACCAGTGCTTGACGTGTGGCAAATCTTTCATCAACTACCAAATTATGGCCTCCCACGTAAGATCAGTTCATAGCCAAGACCCTTCTGGAGATACCAAGCTTTATCGATTACACCCTTGCAGGTCTCTGCAGATCAGACAGTATGCATACATTACTGATCACTCACGCAGTATACCAGTCATCAACGAGGGTGGAATTGTTTATCGCGTCGGCACAGGGAAGGATGGCACCGAAGGAACAACATCTAACACTCCGGCCAAACAAATTACCTGGGATGACATTTTCATTCCACAGGGAAATGAAGCAATTTTTAAACAAAATCAATCAGAGGGAAGTACTGAATTTGAGTTTGTAATACCAGAATCTTACTGAAGCGCATTAAATGCTAGAAAAAGGCTTCAGTGCAGGAATTCTGCAGCTGTTTTAAATGAACTGTTAAAATTGCTGTAAAAAATCAAATATTAAAGTGAAAACAAGTTATCTTGTTCTACTAAGTCATCAAATGGTAACACTTAGGTGGATCATGAGCTGCAAGTGATTTGTGGAAGCGATTCATCTGCAAATTTACTTGAATAGAGAATAAGACATTTCCAAGAAGCTGGCAGTTTTCTGGTATGTTAATTTTGATCAAAACATGGGGATTTGTCACCTAATAAGGTACAATTTCTTCTAAAGAGACAGAAATCTTCTAAAGTAATGGAGGTATTTCCTGTGCCCATACTTACTGCGCAAACCCTTTATTTCATGGTAGCACTTTACTGCTGAATTCTGTTTAGACATTAACCAAGAAAACAGTAAGATTTTTCATCATAGTCTCTTGAATAGGGAACCATTTAAAAAAAAAAAATAATCCCACAACTGAAATTTATTTTTGTGAACAATACATTACTGCAAGGGTCCAAAATAACTGATCCAGTAGTTTGGTGTATTTTTGAACTAGCATCTTAGTTCTGTTTTTATAACCACTATGAATTACCTGTCTTTGTGCAAATAGTCTTGCCAACAAGAGATACTCAGTTAGGGCTAACTTGAACAAACTTTATTTATGTACTTGGCACTATGGTGAGCAGAGTATTCAGTGTCTGGACCATTATATTTTACTATTTTTGCAATAGGAAAAAAAACCACAAAAAAAACCCCAAACCAACCCAAGCCCCACAAAGCTAAATAGTGAAGAAGCTCAGAGCACTTAGGAAGGAGATAATTTTGCCTTTTCAAAGCTTGAGGAATAATATTAGCTTTTCTTACTACTGGAAAAGATGCTGGTAGTTAGTTTGGAATAAAGTGCTGTTCCTTTTTCTGCTCTTCAAGAAGAAGGGCTTCAGTCTGGTATTTTAAAAGAAGTAATACTTATGATAAAGTAATACCTTTTTTTTTTTTTTTTTAGCTGAAGGCTTTGAAATTTACTTCTCAAAACTATGAAATACTCTATAAGTGCTGTATCAGTTTAGCACTGAGACTGCTGAGATCTTGTATGCCTGTTTGGCTAGATCTAAGTGTAACAGGGATTTGGATTTTTTCCCCCCCATTTCTAGGATATGGAAGCATGAGGACTAAACAATCTCAAAATACCCTCCATCTACCATAATCCAAAGTGTAATTTCTCTGCAGTTGTCTAGTTGTTTTTTTTCAGATTTGGGTTTATTATATTGTCCTTCTTCTTCCAATTGGTACATATGTAGGCACTTACAAGATAAATTAGATGTCCAACTTGAACAGGAAACAGGATCTGAGAAAAACAAACAGCTGTTTACTGGAGTCATAGTTTAGCACTTCAGATTTAGTGACTTTTTGAATTTTTGTAAGTGGTAATATGAAATCTGCTTAAATTCTAGAGTTGACTGAGATTGTAATGCATAGTACTAGTTAGTTATCATAACCTTTCATTGCTTAAATTACAGTTAAAGGTTTTTCTTTTCTTTTTTGTGTTTTAAGTAAGCATCTTGATCCTATGACCTTCAAGGTTAAGGTTTTAGACATACATTACTCTAGACAGAAAGACATCTAAATGGTAAAAGCTTCAAATGAAACTTGAGCTATAAAAAGGGTACCAGAAATCTGTATGAGTAACAATGGGAGAAGGAGGAGGAGGAGGATTTGTTTACCTTATGCATGTAATGCTCAGCACTTCTGTTTTGTAGGCCAAGAACATGATTATTTCCAGATCACCTTTGAATATAACGGTGTATGTTACAGGTTGGATGTTCTCTGAGATGGCATTTCAGCAAACATAGTCCTCACAAGGCATAAGTATAGACTGTCTGGTTTAGCACAGGTAGCTCTGATGTAGCTGGCTGCGTGCTGTATTGAGCCTTCCTGAGCTTTTTGACAAGAAAAACACAAGGTTATTTTTGTTACTGACATGACACATCTGGAATTAAGCACACCTTGCAAAGTGTACATTCAGTAATAATGAAACAGAATGGCTATCAATATTTGCTGCCGATATATTTAAAACCTTAAATTAAACTGTGCCTACTAAAGGTCTCTTTTTGGAGGAAAACTGGAAAATTAGGGCTTTGTAACTATTTTTGCTAGAAGACTCGTGCTTGCATGTGTCTCAGGGTCTTCAGTTTTCCTTGGAAGTGATTTTTGATATCCAAAGTCCAGAGGTCATGTAAAACATTTAGTTTTATTTCACTTCCAGTATTTATTGGTTTGGAAATGTGTTAAATCCATTCTTTTAAAACTTTATATGGGGCCATGAGCTTTTATATTTAGATTTCTGGCTACTGCATTTATGTTTGGGTTTGTTTGTTTGTTTGTTTTGTAAACACTTAGTTTCCAGTTTAACTTAATGAAAAAACTTATGTAAATATTAAGAAATTGGGTTTGGGGTAATGGAAGAAAAAGATTGAATTTGAAAAAGCATTTATATAAAAATTAAAAATGTCAACAGAGTATAGTAGTAAACTTCACAGTCATTTATATGCATATAAAAACATTAACAGATCTGCTGCAAAATATGGTAACAGTGGTTGCATCCCTACGGTATGATTTCTTTGGGGATTCATACCATAGCATTCCAGTCTGTGAATTAAAACAAATATTGAGATAACAATTGACTGCTTATTTATTTCGTACTGTTAAGGCATGCAGCTTATAAAAAGATGCAGAAGCTGACAACTATATACATTGAACACTTACAGCTATAGCCTATGAACTGTTCCATGTGAAACATTTATCATTTTTGCCAGATCTGTAATGTATATAGTTGTACAGTCTTTCCTTAACATACTTTTTAAAGTTGTGTTCTACTTTTCATTAATCAATACTTGATATTAGTTCTTAGAGCTTTCTATGGCAAAAATAAAAAAGTTTAATTCTAAAGATGGGTGTAGCATGTTTCTTTTTAATCACAACTTCTTAGGTTACCAACAGTTCATAGGTTCCTTGTCCAGGTCTTTGGGAATAGCAGGGAATCCCCTGCAGAGGGAGGTGCTTTTATTTGGGGTTTAGGTTTACTGATGGGTTTGGGTGGTTGGGTTTTTTTGTTTTGTTTTTTTTGTTTTTTCCGTTGAGTACTTTCCAAGAAAGCAAATCAGCTGAAAAGCTGAAAAACTACTGTGTATTGTAAGCTGAATGTTGTGATAAACACTTGCTCTCAGATTAGGCAGAGCTGCTGTGGAACAGTCTGTCCAACTACTGCTGTCACTACAAATGAGCCAGATACCAGAGCATACACAGTACCCAGTGCATCACACTGCAGCTAACTCAGGGTCAGGGCTTCTCTTCTTACCAGGCTGCTGACTAATTATGATTTAGAAGAGTTACATTGTTGGTGAGCCATGGCTAACATGGAGAAAATTAATTACTTTATGTAGACTTCTTATTACAGGTAAGGAATGCCATTTAGTAAGTAACATATCAAATGATGTTTTAGGTGCCTTTATCTCCTTTGCATAGGGCTTCCACCTACTTCTGGCTGACGTCATCAGGACAGAATTAGCCCTAAAGTAATACAGTAAACATGGCAGTAAGTGAATGAGACACTGACACTGCACTGGCTGGATTATTTGCCTCTGTGTTAAGCAAAAAAACCAGCAGTAATGACTTTACAGTGACTGAAGTTAGGGTACCCTGTTATGTAGGTAGAACTGTAAAATTATGAAGTGTTAGGGCATCTGGGGCTTTTAAAAACAGAACTTAAATAAAGGCGTCTCCGGCTAATCCTGGTAGAAACACCAGTTTCCAATATAGCAAATACAGCTGGTTTTGTTTGTTTGTTTAAATGCACAATGCTGTTATACTGGAATTTCTCAACTAACATTAAAGATGCTTGTAAAACAGGAAAGTTACTAAAATGTAACATGCAATTTATAAATGTTTACAAAAGTCACACAATTTTATTTAACTTTGGTAAAGTAATAAAAGGGTACATATGAGTCACAATCTTGACATTCTCATAAGAAATGATGAATACAGTACAGAATGTTGCTTTACATTAAACGCTTAGTTTTACTCAAGCAGAAGGAAACAGGTAAGTCAAAGGAAAATCCCACCAGTAATTTTTAAAATGTGCAAATGGACTTGTCCTTTTCTAGTGAATTTAAAGCAGCAATGCAATTTTTGCTTAAATATTCCTTAGGAAAAAAAGATAATTTGGATAATTTCCTAAGTTACCACACCAATGACACAATCATTTCCTCATTGTTTCTCTGCCACTAAGTTATGTTCCCCTCATGAGTTTCTTAGTCCTGTCCTGTCGTGTCCCCTAGTCCTTCTAGCCCTATTTAGTTGACAGGCACAAATGGTAGAGTATGTTTGTCAGAAGTGGGACAGGACTGTTAGCTTTTATCTCAAAGACGCAGCAATATAGCGTATTCTGATCTTAAGTTTATGTGCCCTTCTGATCCTAGTTTTGTAGGAAGTTTTATCAGGATAAGTACTGTCTATTTTAAAATTGGCCATGATCTCTTTATCAAGATTTAATTCAGGAAAATGTAATACAAAACGGATGATGCCCTAGTATATACATTTATTTCCAGTACACAAGTTTATAGCAGCTGCACTTTAACAATCTATAGTAAACCAAAATGTCACCAGGATATGTTCTGCATACACTACTGCTTTAAATCCCAGGAAATTCCTTTCTCCAGCCATTCATTTTCTTTGTTACTGGAGAAAAGTTACACTTGCTTCTGGATAAACAGTGTCATTCTTTAGCTTATTAATATACTGATTACTATGTGACAGTGGAAATGATAAGGTTAACACATAGCCGAGGCTAAAGGCTTTGCAAATGCATAGGATTAAAAACAGCATTAGAAAGTGTGGGTGTACTTTGAAAGGTGAGATCAGAGACTTCAGTGTTTGTTTTCCATGTTGAGAGTATTTGTTTTTTGTTTTTTGGGTTTTTTTTTAGATTAAAAGTAGAGAGATGCCCCAGTTTAAAGTCCAACTGGATTTTTTTTCTTCCCCCTCCTAGCATGTATTCCACTTTTAGATTCTGATAACCAGATTTAGGTTATAGGTACCTTTTTGTCTGCATCAGTTGAAAATAAAGGTAGACAACTG